GTGACCAATTTAGCCTGATAGATCCTATTATTAAACAGAAATTATAACATTAATTAATTATAGTTTAAATTAATTCATTGTAAGAATAAACTATAAGTGTTTTTTCTCCACTATGTTTAGCAATAATCTCTCTAGGCATTTCACATAAAATAGGCTGATAAAAACCTAAGTATATTTCAACTAAAAATTATATTAATTAAAAGGTAATCCAAAATATTCATTAAAGACTACTAAGGTCAATAAATATTGTAAATATCAACCATTTTATAATAAATAAATAAACATTTATTAATTTTTTACTAACACCCTAGTCTAAAGTTGGCAACACAAGATGCCAATAAAATACTTTTAAACAATGAGGATTATAGGAAAGTGTATAAGGTTGCTATATCTAAATATCAACGTTTGTGGAATACACAAAGCAAATTTGGGCCATCAGCTGAGCAAACTAAAAAGAGATTATGCCGTATCCCATTGTAACAAGATGGGGTTCTTTTTAGTGATCTGCATTCTAATTTTTCAAGCCCCGCCCGGCCCAAAATTTTTTTTAAATTTTTTTATTTAAATATAAAAATTAATTCTTATAATTACTCAAAATAAACGATATATGTTATATGGCGTCTACTTTCTATAAATAAAATCACATATTTTTATTCTACATAAAAAATTCAACATAAAATTGATAAATTTAGATATATTTTAAAAAAAATTTTAAGGCCCGACCCGGCCTGGCCTGAATTATAAAAAATATAAGGCCCGGCCCGTACCCGGCTTGCAGATCTCTAGTTCTTTTTATACATCTTTATCTAAAATATTATCCCTTATAAATAAAATGCCTTTGGAATTTAATTTATTATGTGACGAATTAGAATTGTATAGATTTACATCACTAGATACTGATTTTATTAAAGAATATTGCAGTGTAAATTTAAATTAATGTCTTAATAATTTACAATTAAAAAAATTAGATTATGCAACCAGTAGCCATAACTATTGATATATTAGAAGGCGAAAAATATATGTATCGAAGTTATTAACCCCAACAATAACACAGATACTTATCTGTCTAGAAGGTGTAGAAGAATTAAAATATTGTCAATTAAAAGATGCTATATTAGCTAGTATTAAAAAAAGGTAACTTAAATTAAATAATTATTTATAAATTAATAATACAATGATATAGGTTCATGATCTTTATGATAATGATAATATAAATTAATAATACAATGATATAGGTTTCATGATCTTTATGATAATGATAATATAATTGCTGTATTCTTCATCCACTATTTAAAACTGATTGGCCTTGGAAGAATAGATCAAAAAAGATGTAAATTTTAAATTTAATAATTACTTTAATACTTCGTGCTGAATCTAACACAAATGGCTTATGTTTGCAACAAACATAATTAGATGTAATTGGATTTTTTGATTTAAAGCGTCAAAATAATATTGATAATGATGAATTTATTGAAAATTTTATTAAATCCAATAACAGCACATTATCTTTATATGACGATTTTCCAAATTTAAAAATACTCTTAATTAAATATAATATTGTTATTACATCAAGTGCTCCTGTAGAGCGTTTATTCAGTCTAGGGAAGCTCATCTTTGGAGAGAAACGAGCGCGTCTTCTACATAAAAATTTTGAAAGTTATTAAAAAAATTAAACATTTGACTCAAATTTTTATGAAAAATAAATATGTTTTTTTTTCAATGCAAATAAAATATATAGGATATTTTTATTTGATGTAAATATAAATATTCTATTTTCCGATATTTTTTTCGGTTTACTTATTTTTTTATATAAATAAATTGTATATTTTTTTTAAACAATATTATAATTTTATAATTTTTTTATATTAAATAAATCGTTCAGTAAATAAATGAGTTATATGAATGATATAATGTAACTAGTTACTTTTGAAAAATAACTGTAACTAAATGTAACTAGTAACTGTAACTAGTTATCTTTTTGTCAATGTAACTAGTAACTGTAACTAGTTATGTTTCAAAAGTAACTTTACAACACTAGAAATTACCTAACCAGCGACGGCCTTGTGAAAGGGTCATTTATAATTAATATAGTTTAAGTAATGAATATCGATTAAATAAAATTTATATTTGTTGTTAAATATTATGCTAATAACCAGTGACAAAGCGCAAGGTTTATTACTAGTTGTCATATATGAAGATATATGTGGTGACAAATAGAAAGAAGAAAGGAAAATCGAAGACATACATTCATAATTATTTTTAATTTGAATATTTCTTTAATATATATTTTATATATGATATAGGATGGAAATATTAATAATTATAGGGAAATATCAATAGTAAAATTATAGGAAAATTTATTGGAAAATTAGAAAGTTAAGAACTAAAAATATAAGGAGTTATTAAAAGGTTTAAATGACAAAGAAGTTTATTTATATTACATCGGTTGAACCAGAATATTTATTTCATAGGAGTACGTCATAGTATACACAAGCCTACAAGATTATTTTAATTGCTTCAGGTTGAATAATTTAATAGGTGTATGTCATAGTACACACAAGCCTACATTAGAATTAAGGTAAAGGAAGGAAGATTATTTTATTTGATGCAGGTTGAATAATGTTATAAACGTGTGTCAGAGCACTTATAGCCTACATTACTATAATAGTTCTGGTAAAACAAAATAGGCGTACAACATAGTATAGATAAATCTAAAGTAAATGGAGATAAATTTTGAAGAAAATGGAATTTCCAATTTAAGGGGAAATAATAAGGATTTCATTAACATATTTTAGTAACTTGGAACTTTTAAAAAAGATTAAGAGGGAGGATAACTTTATTAGGATTAAATTTTCTTGTATAAAATTGAATAATAAAGTGGAATAAGAAGTGAGAATCAAAATGATGGATTTTTATATAATGATCACTCTTAAGGAGAAATAATTTTAAAGGGAGAATTCAAAAAAGGGTTATAAAGAAAGGATACAAAGGGAACGCGAATTTATATATTATGGGGAATATTTTTAGAAAATTATGGGAAAAATAAATATATAGTAAAGAAGAGTGATGTAATAAAATAGGGAAGAGAAAATTGAATAAAGAAAGGATTTAAAAGTTTGTGAATGTGGTGTAGTGGAAGGGTTAGTTGGAAACTTTTGTGTTAATTATTAATTAATTGGAGAGAGAAAAGAGGTATGAAGTAAAAGAATCAAGGGAAAGGAAAGGGGAGAAGAAGGAATGGAAGTAGAATAATTGGTAGCAGATATGAAGGCTGATTGGAAAGGAGTGATAAAATGACATCGAACATAGAAGTCGAGAAGCGAACGATAAAGATTAGAATTTTGTTATATTTTATCTATGATAAATTTAAATTTTCTTTTGCCTTGATTTTAATTAGTCAAGATTATTTGTAATTTTACGTTATATTTTCACTATTATAAATTTTTATACAATTCATTCTCAAGATACGAGAATAGGAATAATTTTATTATTTACTTAGGAATTTTAAGCTATATTTTCTCTATCTAGTTAATAATTAATTAATAACTGTTTCTTCTTCTATATAATATTATAATACTACACATATATAAACACCACCAAAAATACATGATATTGTATTATATAAGAAATGCAGTGGCGTATCCAGGATTTTCCTATGGGGGGGGGGGGGATATTTTTTTTGGGGGCTTCGCCCCCAAACCCTCTTAGCTGGCCTTCGGCCAGGTCTTATGTTTTATTATTCTATTAAATTATTCATAAAATTATATATCTTTTTTTAACTTTTATTTTCTAATTTGTGCCTAATGATATTACTATTTTTTATTATTTTAAGTTAGGTATGTTATATTTAATAAAGTTTTTTTAAATGTAAAGTTGAAATAAAATGTCATTTAAAATTTGATTTAAAAACTAGCCTCTGCTTAAATTCTTATACAATATAAGTAGAATAATTTTTTTTATTGAAAATACTACAGTGTATAAAATATTGACTAAAAAATAATCTAAAAAGCAAGTTTTTATAACTTCTCTCAAATGCAATATTATCAAAAAGTTTATTAAACACTATAACTATAATGTAATTTTTAATTTTCGTGTGGATGTTGCCAATTCATCTAGAATTTCGTTCGTCGTTGGAACTAAATCTCTATGAATATTTAACATGGCTAATCCATTTAGCCGAGATTATGTAGTAGTACTTCGTAAAAATGTCTTCAGCCTTCTCAAGTTTGAAAATGTCATTTCATTCGTGCATGTTGTAATAGGCAAACATGCAAGAATATAAAATAACTTCAAAATATTGGGAAATTGAGCCAAGATATCTTTACAACGATTTAGCGCATCAATGGCATGCTCAGGTAAAATAGTTAAACGTAATAAATATTTATACCATAATTCAAATTCGCTGATTAAATTTATCTCCGAATCAATATCGTACGAATAAAATTTGGCTAAATATTTTATTTTATCAATCGTGCCATGAGAAAATGAGGAGGGATTTTTGGGCAATAAAACTTGAAGATTTGCAAAGACTTGTTTTTTATCTAAAAATCGTACTTTTATTTGTGATAAAAAAGTGTCCAAGAATGGGATAAAAATAGATATTTTATAATAATCTTCAGTTGATCCAATATTTATATTGCATCTCATTAATTGCCTTGGTGCTAGACGAGGTTTAATTATTGATATATCATAAAATTGAGCCTTCGATTCAATATCTACATAAATATTATGAAAATATTCATCGACATTCGTTCTTATTTTATCCACCTGTTCATATATATTTTCTGCCAAATCAATTACCTGAACCAAATCTAAATTTGGTTTTTGTAGATTTCTACAAAGTATTGAACTATAGGAAAATAATTTATTGATGCAACTAGCAGCAATGATAAACTCTGATTGATCAATTGAATTCAATAATGATATCGCTTCTGACGACACATTACTATCTTGCCATTTGGTAATTTCATGTAAAGATATTCTTATCATCTCTTCTAGTTCTATAAATGCCGAAACTGAATCATGACGTAAACCCATCCTGTAGGGCACATTTTTTTTAATTTTTGATGATGTGTTTCGGGTGCATTCATTGATATAGTTCGATTCAAAACATCTGACCGTTTGGGATATTTAAAAAAATCATAAATTTTGGATATAATGGCTAAAAATATATTTAATTTATTTTATTTTATAAGTTAAAATACCCATGGAATTGCGTATAGAAGGTAGAGCACATGAATCGGATATTGCCAAATTCAACGAATGAGATGCACAATGAACATATATAGCGAAGGGATATTTTTTTAAAATATGTGCTTTGACACCATTTAAATGGCCACTCATAGCCGGAGCACCATCATAATCTTGTCCTCGCATCAAATTTAAATTTAACTTATATTTCTCTAAATTTAACAAAATAGTTTTGGCGAGGGCCTCCCCTCTCATATCCATAACTGGTATAAATTGTAAAAATTCTTCTAATATTTGTATATCACCTATGATGTATAATTTTTTTTATTATTAATAAAATTATAAGCTTACCATCCAGGCTTATATAGCGCACACATAAAGACATTTGTTCTACTCCAGAGACATCTGTGGTCTCATCAGCCAAGACCGAAAAGTAGGGTGATTTGTTGATATTTGTAATAATTTTCTTCAATATTAATTCATTGCAGGCATAGATGATTTCATTCTGAATTATTGGACTCAAGTAGGTCGCATTTTTAGGACAATTTAACAAATTGTCTCTAAGTATGGGATCTCCAAGAGATCTATTTCGAAGAATAGCTCTTAGGTTACCATCATTATTGTTGTTATCATTATCATATATCGCACCGCTATCTCTATGACCTCTAAGAGCGATACCTTGGATGCCACATACCAGGATAGCGTCAATTATTGGCGTTAGTCTTGATCTATTTTGCAAGACTAGTTCTTGCTTTCCAGTATCTATTATTCTAATAGTATCCATAGATTCTCCATTTTTGATAGATCGCAAGGAATATATTGTTTGTTCTGCATTAATATGATACTTATTATTTTGATGGTTGTTAAAAGTTTCAGTATCATCTTTCCATTTAGCAAATGGTGTTAATACTAAGCTCTGTAATTTTTGCTGAGCTCTTCCAGCAAATTTGGGACCAAATAAAACACAATTCTTGCAAAATGCACCATTAATGGTAGGAGAAAATGCAAGCCATGTCCACCTTGATAACCAAACATATTGGAACCTTAATTTTTTTGTTGTCGTGTCCCTAATAAATGGGAAAGTTATATCTGGTTGATATATATTTTCCAAAATCTCCAGTTTTTTTGAGGAGTTAAATCATTCTTTAGGAAATTATATATATCCCACGGTTGCCCTAAAAGACATTATTAAAATTTTATTTTTAAATGGTTGTCTTATCAATAAAAATCTGAAGAAAACTTTGTACTAACTATATTATATTTAAAAAATAGGTCACATAGTGAAGATCTGGCATAAATGGTGTTTGAAAACTGGCTGGCCACCACCCTTTAACCTTTTATCTTTGTACCTTACATAATTTTTATTACAAACATTCATTAATGTACATATAAAAGCATTTAATGATAATAGACAGCAGGCGCGTACGCAGGAATTTGGTCTGGGGGGGGGGGGGATAATAAAATTTTTTAAGAAATATTATTGTTTTTAAAAATATCAAGCATACATTTATTAGGATTAATAACTATTTCTAATACACAATTTTAAATTAATGTGAATTATAAAAAAATTATATGTAAAGAATCACTTAACCCTTTCGGTGGCGGAAGTGCAAATATAAAACCACCTTACGACCTTTATATCTTCTAAAGGAGTTAATCATATAAAATGAAACTACCACGAATATATATTAAAAGATATTCTTTTTCATATGTTTGTGGAGGAGTTATTTTTTAATTTTTTTTTTCGCGCTTTTATTTCAAAATACGTTTTCAACGGGTATTTTTCTTAAAATTCTAAATTTAATTATAAGTAAGTATATTCATCAAATATTTTTTAAATATATATATTCCTCACTATATTATCAATCTTTCTAATATTTATTTTTCATCAAATAAATAATATTTATATATTATTTTGATCTTTTTAATGTGGTATATTAAACTAACCATTGCCACTTTACAAAAATAATTGATAAATTTTGCAAATTCATTTAGCAATAATTTTAGCTTGTTATATGGATGATTATTTGAATATTCCATCTGAAGATTCTTCGTTATACTCATCCACTGATACCGAAGATGATTATGAATCTGATACACGTTACCAAATTGATAGTGATGACTATGAATCAGATACACGTTATCAAATCGAAATTAATGACAATGACAAGTCGGAACAAGTTATGAATGATTAATCTGGTACAAACCATAATAATCCTATCTGGTGCAAAAAATATTTTTCAGAACCAGTATTAGAATTTGATAAAATATCAGGTCCAATATCATCTCTAAAAAAGGACCCATTGTATCCATCTGATATATATAAAAAATATAATTACTTTCAATACCAATTTATATGCCCAACAAAAAAATATTAAATATCAACCAACAACTCCTACAGAAATAAGAAAATTTTTATGTCTTCATATACTTTTTGGAATTAAAAATATGGCAAATTACAAAGATTATTGGAGTTCTAAACCAGAATTCCATGACAATTTCATTTCATCCATAATGAAAGTAAAACGTTTTATTTGGCTTATGGGCCACATCCATATAAATGACAATATCTTAGAACCATCAAGAAATGATGAAAATTATGATAAATTATACAAAATAAGACCATTCATTGATAATATCCGTTCCTCCTGCTTGAAATATTTTCTTCCCTCGGAATATCAAGCAATTGACGAAGGAATGATTAGGTTCAAAGGCCGTATAGGATTCAGGCAATATATGCCTAAGAAACCTACTAAACGCGGTTTCAAGGTAATATGTGAATTTTGTCATTATTTATTTCGACTAAACTATATTTTTAGGTATGGATGAGGTGTGATAATTCAGGATATATGAATGATTTTAATATCTATACTGGGAAAAATAAAGAGGCTGAAAGTAATCTAGGTTATAATATTGTAACAAAGTTTTGCGAAGGACTTCAAAATCATAAAATATTTTTCGATAATTATTTTACGAGTTATACTCTATTATCCGATTTAAAAAAGAAAGGTATATATGCTACCGGAACATTAAACAAAAATAGGAGATATTTGCTCATAAAGAATATGGAAACAAAATTAACAAGAGGTGAGTTTGACTGGAGAAGTGACAAAAATATAAGTATAATTAAATGGCGAGATAATCGGGATGTATTTATAATGTCCAATTATATTGATCCAAGATCAGTGGATACTGTGAAGAGGAAAAATAAAAAAGGGGAAGTATTTGACGTAAAATGTCCAATGATGATAAAGATATATGATAAATTTATGGGGTCTGTTGACCATTTCGACCATTTAAAGTCTTTATATAAAATCTCGCGAAAGTGGCGAAAATGGTGGCTGCCAATATTCTTTTGGCTGATTGATGCGGCAATTATCAATTCATTCATAATCTACAATATTCTTACAGATAATAAACTCTCATTGAAAGAATTCCGAAGACAAATAATTGCTAGCGAATTGGCACACTGTAAAAATGTTGATAGGGATGATAATATTGAGAATGATAATAATTATACATCAATGCAAAGAAAAAATAATAAGCCTTATATCCTTCCAGAAATTAGACTAAAAAACTCAGCTCATCAACCTCAGACAGGAACCTCCAGAAGGTGTGCCCACTGTAGTACAAAGTTAAATCCCAGAAGAACAAGGTGGTCGTGCAAAATGCAACCTACCACTATGTCTAATTAAAAATAGAAACTGTTTCGAAAGTTTTCATAAGGTGTCTATGATATGAATTTGAAACCACCAGAGAGAGCCGCCATTTTAAATTAAAAAAATTTTTTTTGTGGGTTTTATATTATGCTATACATGAATCAATAAAAAAATTACTAAATATCGTGTTGCATCATATTAATCTTATCAGGGAACCTAAAGGGTATGACCCAAAATAGAAATTTGAATTTTTTGAGCTTTAAAATTTATATATAAAGTATAAAAAATTTAAATGTTAGAAATATAAATTAATACACAAAAAGCTTAGGGAATAATTGTATTTTGTATGTTATATATTTACAATGTAAAATCCAATCTTCGTTGGGATTGAGCTATTTTTTCAATTATCTCATCCTTGCTTGTTGTCAAATGGCTATGAATATTCAAAAGATCCAAACCTTTCAATTTACTTTCAAAAGTTGTACTTCTTGGTATGTTTTTCAGAGACCTGCAGGCCCGGCCCTCGGGCCGGACCGTATTGCCGGGTCCGAAATTTAAAAAAAAACACCAGGGCTGAGCCTGAATTTTAAAAAAAAACACCAGGGCTGAGCCTGAATTTTCAAAAAAAACATCTAAGCCAGGCCTGAAAATATTTTTTAAAAAATATCCGGGCCGGACTGTATATTTTAAAACAGCCTATATTTGAAATCGTTATTATTAGCTATAAAAATCAAAAATAAATATAATTTATTTTTTAAAAATCCGGGTCGGGCCTGAAAATTTTATTTTAAAAAAGGCCGGGTCGGGCCTGAAAATTGAGCTTAGCCGTAAAAATCTTTAAAAAAATCCGGGTCGTGCCCTGCAAATGGTACCTCTGCAGGGCTCTGTTATTCTTCTTAAAAAAGAGAATGTTCTCTCATTAGTTTACTATTGGGAAGAGTTGCTAAAACCCTTTTAATACATTGGGAATATAATCTAAAATGTGTTTGAAATAATACAGAGCATCCATAGCATTTTTTGGGACTGTATCAACCATAGTTAATCTTATAAACATAGTTATTCAGTTAATAAGGCATCATAAGATACTTTAACATCTTCATGATAAAAATCCAACAAATATTTTTTTTTCTATCACCATCTGAAAAAGGTTGGAAAGGCTTTTATGAATAATATTCGCAGATTGGTAAGTGCTGCATAATGAATTAAAAACCATTCATTTATTTGGTTTATAAATGTATTTGTACCTAAGATATACTCCTCTACTGATCCTATATTAATGTTTTAACTATGAGCTTGCCTTGCTGCATGTCGAGTGAGACAAATATTAAACACGTAGAGCTCTGCTTTTGACTTAACAATAACATATAAAATATGAAATTCTTCATAAACATTAGCCCTAATTTCCTTGAATTCTAATAAAATGCTCTCCGCTATTCTCATCTTCTTAATCAAATCATCATGTTTTTGAAAAGTAATACATAAAATAGTTGTACATTCTAATGAGAAAAAAAATTTGGAATAAGCATTGAATCCAATAATTTTCTTGCTTCTAAGGAAAAGTTTATTTCAGGCCATTGTGATATGTCAGTAATAGCAAATAATCGGCTCTTCTAACTCCATAAAAGCTGTTACTGCTTGATGGCGGAGACTCTATCTCGTAGGACAAGGTTGCAATTTCTTTCTCCCTGTTGGACAATTTCAGAATAATTATTATTTGACTAGAAATTTAAAAATGGTAGATAAATATTACACCACTAATAATTTGAAAATAATAAGATAATATTACGCCGGAGAACTTTAAATCAAAATTAATTGATAAACTTAGTGATGAATGTGATAATAAATGTAATTAAATATATATTTAATATGAGATAGGAATAAATATTAACAATATAAATTAATATAGTACTGTGTAAATTTAATTCAAAACATTTCCATATTTATTAATTTATTTGAAAATAAAATTATTTGACTTGTAAAAAGTTGTTAAAATAACATATTTATATATTCTTATCAATTTTTACAAGTTAAAATTCTTATTTACAAACGAATTAAAAAATATTGAAATGTTTTAAATTAAATCTGCACAACACTCTAAACAAAAATATTTTTGAAAAATATATCCGGCATCTGCATTTTTTGGCTTTGGGAAGGGGGGGGATAGGGATTTGCCCCCCCCCCGCTGCGTATGCCAATGATAGACAGGCATTATCTGGCCAAAATTAATACACTACATTCAAACACACATATTGAAATGAAAATGAACATATTATTTAATAAGCAATTGTTATGATCATTAATAAAAATTCCACACTATTAATATCTATCAAATTTAAATTTAATATTCTTATAATATTCACCAACTGCCTAACCTAATTTTTATAAAATATATGCTAGTGCTACCTACCTTTATCATTATTTCCTTCAATTTCTATTTGTACATTTTTTTCATGCTCAGACCTGTTTAAATTTTGTATATCTTCTGTTCTAAAGAAAAATGAAAAATATAAAATTAGATATTTATTAATTAAATTATATACCGTTTGATTTCAATATCTTTGTCCTTGACTAAAAATTTCTACATTTTTTATATATATTTTTGAATAATGTTAATGTACTCACAAGGAAAGGAAATTTAAAAAAAAATTTATTTATAAAAAATAAGTTTTATGTTGGAAAATTGATATTCAAATATTTGTAAAATTGTGATTTAAGGGGGGGGGGGCGGGGGGGGTGATTAAAATTTTTATTAGCTTAAAATGATATTTATGAAAACAGTCAAATTTGCGCCCCCCCCCCCCCCATTGGTTACGCGCCTGAAGAAATGCATAAACATATTAATTTGTAATTCAAAATTACTTAAGCAAATTTCCTTTATTGTAACAATGATCACCATAAGTCAGACTTATACGCGATTACTCTCTATTAATGCATATAAAGGAATGGAATTTTGGGGAAGCGCGAGAATTGAAACGAAACGGGAAAAAGAGATTTTAAAAGACGAAGGACAAAAAAATTGATATGAAAGGAAAATGGTGAGTAAAAGAATTGATAACGATGAACATGAAGTATAAGACAAATGGTGACGGCGGAACAAATGAATTGTTGTAGTCGAAATACGATAAATGAGGAAAGAATCAGAGCATTGATGTACGAGAGTACATCAGATGCCGAGAGTATTGAAAAAATAACAACTGAAAACTAGTAATCAAAAAGTTAGGATTTGGGTTGTAAGGAAGTCAATACAGAGAGAGTAGAATGAGAGCAACACGATAACTATGATGGGAGATGATGGAAACGAATATGAATCAAAGAGCAGGGACAAAGCGAAATAAATAAGGGAGATGTTATATATGAAGATATATGTGGTGACAAATAGAAAGAATAAAAGGAAACTCGAAGACAAACATTCATTTATTTTAAATTAAAATATTTAATTTTTTATTTTTTAGTATTTGGAGTTAGAAGATATTGTTTTTGATTTGTTATACAATAAAGAATCGATACACAATAAAAGTTTATATTAATTATTATAAAATATATTTGTCTTTGAGGATATATTACTAGAGTAACAATTAATTCTTTTATTTTCAATATCATATCCGAAAATTCTTTGTCATACCAAACATAACTTCCCATTGGGAGTAATAGGCATTTTTTTAAACGTAAAATTACATAATACAATCGCTTGATTAACGTTTTATTTATTAAAAATAACTAATTTTATATTTTTCCCCAATGTTTAGATGTTTTAACATAGTAAAAAAAATTATGCCAAAAATGTATCGTATGAACATGTTTTTTTAAATATATATTTTTAAAATTAAACAATATTAAATCTGCTTTCCTCAAATATGTTTTTTTAAGTTTTTTTATTGTTTTTTTAAGAGTAAAAATAATATCGCCGGGGTGGCCTAATGGGTAAGATGTAGGCTTGGAAACACGAGTATGAACAAGGACGCGGGTTCTATCCTGGTAAGAACCATAAAAACTTTCAAGTTTTTCTTCGATGACTGATGTGTAAAGACATAGGGTATGATGAATTTCGGAGCTTAGAGATGACACCCCGGTCACCGACAGGCCTGGACAGCCGAGTGCTAAGGATACCTGTCCAATAAACAAAATGAAGGACACAAATGAAAATATGAATATGAAAGCTAGGGCGTTCCCTCCATGCGACGCGCAGGGTGTAGACCTCCATCCTGTGAAAAATAAAGTAAAGGTCAAAGCAAAGAAGACAAGACTGGCAAGTTTGAATATTGGGACGCTTAAAGGTAAGACGAGAGAATTGGCATCAATGTTGAACAGGAGAAAAGTTGATATAGCGTGCATACAAGAGACGAAATGGAAAGGACAGAAAACTTTGATGATTGGAGATGGGTATAAATTGTACTATAATGGACTTGTTAGCAATAGGAACGGTGTCGGCATCATCCTCAGCCAAGACCTAACCTCTTCAGTAGTAGAAGTCAACAGGATCTCTGATAGACTAATGAAGATAAAACTCTGCATTGGTCAATCAATACTACACATCCTATCAGTATATGCTCCTCAAACGGGTTGCAAGGAAGAAGAGAAAGATGACTTTAGAGCTATCCTTGATGAAGCTGTAATGGAAATCCCTAAGGATGACCTAGTCATAATTGGTGGTGACTTAAATGCGCATGTGGGGAAAGCAATAGATAGCTACAAAAGGCATCATGGTGGTTTTGGATACGGAGAAAGAAATGATGAAGGAGAGCACGTACTGAAATTTGCGCAAGCCTTCGACCTTGCCTTACAACACCTACTATAGGAAAAAAGACAGTCATTTAATAACATATGAAAGTGGTACTAATAACATATGAAAGTGGTACTAGGAAAACACAGATAGATTACATGCTAATCTCTCGCAGAAGATTAAAAGATGTAATAGACTGCAAAGTCATCCCAGGAGAAGATATCGCCGCACAACATAAGCTACTAGTCGTGGATTTACACATCTCAAATAAATCCACTTAAAACAAGATAAAACTGGAACCATGCATCAAATGGGG